GCTAGGCCTTGTCTGCAATACGGGGACAGTATAGACAGTCCGGGCTGGCGGCCTTCCCTATTCTGTGCAAAAAGGCCTGGAAGTACCCGTGACCCGGCAAAAACTGGGTCACGAAATACCCAACCTCACCATACTCCCGTTCCACCCATGGTCGGAGGCTAGGAATGAGCCTGGCGGTCCAACGTCCCCGAGACTCGACGTCCCATTCGCGCTGCCAGCGGTTGAAACTGCTTTCGCGCTCTTCTCTGGCAGCAGTCTCTCTGTCAAATTTAGATCTGCGGTAGATCACCTGTCGCTCCCTCGTGAGATGGAAGATGGGGATGGCACTGGCAATCACCATGACTGCAGACTCGAGGACCGTGCAGTAAGAAGCAACTCGCAAGGCACCTCGACGCTGAACACTGAAGAGCCTGTCACGGAAGACACGCTACTCCAGCACATGGGCTCAGACCTCAGCCCCGGAGAGCACTGATTGAACAGCAGACATCAGTAGGCGGTGCTTGCAGGAGCTGGGAACGCCGACGTTTGGCATAAGCCTACTTAAGGGCAAAAACTCCCTTAGCGGCTTTGTCAACGGTTCGCTTAATCTGCTCGTCGAAAGACATCTTCCTGTCAATCACAACAACAAGGTATTTGGCATGCGGCTTGTTCTCCAGTAGGGTATAGCCTGCTTGCACAGGAAGGACGGTGGGAATTATCTTCTTGGTTAGGACCACGATCTCGGTCTTCAAGCCGTGGTCTTGCATCCACTTGTTGACACGGAGCATCACTACACCAAGTTTTAGCTCTGCTTCTTCGACGTATCTGCCTGCAACCAGAGCAGCGACGTCGTCGGAATAGCCAACGAGGCGGGTCTCGTCTGGCATTTCTAATCTTGTATCAACCGTGTTTTACATTGGATTTGTAGCTTTGCAAATATACAGAGCATAAACTGATTAGCACTATTAAGCTTTGATTTATAAGTTGGTGACATCACTTGGTAACCCTGTTGTATAATTAACACTGCTTAAAAACAAGCTTTAAGCCTTTTGATATTGGCGTAGGGAATATGAACGATCAGCTGTAAATATTGTTATTAAGTGAGCACATTGATAAATGGACCTAGAATTCATAATAATGAGTTACTATTGAGGTACTTTTCCTGTCTTTCATTTCATGATGTTTTATGGGGACGCAACAGACGATGTAGTTTGCAATAAATTGCTCTTTTGTTAGGCATATTTAAGAAGTTGGCGTGTAAGAAAGGAAACTGTTTTTTAAAGAAAATTTTATATGGCTCAACCCTAAGTTCTTTACTTATTCTATATCTGACTCCAAACTTAAAATGGAGGTGGAATGTTGATATCATTTGACTCGTATACTTAACTTAGTAAATAGTACAAGTAACAGGACTTAAGAGCCATGAGACTTATTTGATTCATGGTAGTCATGCAGAATCAATTTTCTAAATCTGAATCACCAAAGTTAATCCTCAATGTCTTCCACTGATATACCTAGCCATTTTTAATTACGTAGGCTTTTTATCTTTTTGAAAACTTTAACCATTGTCAATACTTAATAAATCAACGGTTATGAGTATACGTAATAAGAATACTTAATATATCCAATATTTGTTGTGATAGATTTTTTTTAAGAAAGACATGCACCACTTACCTTAATACACCATAGTTTAATGTAAAAAAATTTCAAAATTTAACCTTTAATTTTATTGGTATATCAAAGTTAAAATTTCCTTTGCTACCATATTAACAAGTTATTTTAAATTGCCAGGTTTAAAGGTACAGTTATCTGGTTGGATCTAGAGCCTATTACAGCTATCTTCTGTGGAATCTGAATAGCTCTTTGTTTAATCTTGAGCTAACCCTCTTTACAACTAACCTCGCCATATTGTTTGGTTATTAATGTTTAAAACATGACAAAATTGTAAAATGTTAACTTAATCACTTTGATAAGACGGCATTTTGTGTACTTAAAGACGGCAAAGTTGTTAGTGTTTTCCTAGTCATCAGAGGCCGCTAGTTCAATCCTGAAAAACTTATAGGTTTTTGATACCAAAAACCTGGTTTGAAGCTGACCTTGATATTATTGGCTTGAAATAATGGACCTGGTTGAAACAGCTGGTCTTATTCGGAAAAAGGACTGCACAACTATTATACATTAGAAGTTATCTCATCGTAATTTTATTATTATTTTGGTATTACACCTACCTTTGTTTGTGTGTAAGTAAAGGCCGTGTGGCACTAACTTATCCTCATTTAATATATGATCTTTGATTAAATATTCATGAGGGCCTGTCCCATGCTATAAATGATAGTGCATCAATGTATATCTTCATCTTTATTTTTGTTAGTAAGAATTTACTAGGATTTTTGTGCATGAGGAGGTTTCCAAATAAAAGTATCTAAATTTGACGACGCTTTTATAACACCGAAAAAATACACTGGATATGTATGTTATTGTTTATGAGTTCTCTTACAGAAATCGCGTAAGTAATTAAGGGTATTCTTAATAGAAGGAGTTCTATTAAGGATAGTTTTATTTCCATACTGAGATTTTATCAGACAAACTGTCCATGGCGTCTAACAGGTTCGAAGGAATTGAATACATCTTATTTGAATAAAAAATGGCAAATTCGACGTTATTGGGCACAATGGGGGACGGCGGCGGGTGATTTATTCCTGCCATTGAACATGGCTAGCGGTGAATAGGACTGTTCAGACACAGAATAATCAGTGACAAGCGGTGAATTAATAAGCCGATCAGATGATCGATACCACCGAACAGCTGATCGTCGTTGATTTGTGGCGAGGTGAAAAATAACCTGACGTGATGTTTGGTAAGTTTACGACGAAAGGTTGTTTGAATTGCTTGATATTGAATAATCCCTTTGATTAAACTTGTTTCCATATAAATTCATTATCCTTATGCATCGGCTATAAAATGTTTTTTTATCATACAGTCCGGAAAACAGCCGTTATGAGTTCTCTAGATCGTGCGTGAAACCATCGTTATCGGGTAACTTCAAATATGAAACAAAAAAACATGGAAAACATTTATGTTCGCCTACATAAACAATTGTTTTATGACATATTATAAAATTATGAAAACGCTACTTATAACACGATATTTTAAGTTATGTTTGTAAACATTAGAGATATAAACATTGATGACGACGTTGTGTAACCTCTAATCAAGATTGTGTATCGATTAGAAGGTTATTTCCGTCATGAAAATAATTATTCCTCACACGGAGCGAAAGTGTCTTTGAGTGATTTTTTTGATACTTGATCATATTTCCAAGTTCGGCTTCGCCTCGCTTCTAAAACACGATTGTATATTAGAAAGAGCCACTTTCACTCCTAGTGATTAAAACTACTATTCAACCACTTTTCTTGATTAATCCGATGATTTTTTTAAGTTGTCTCGATTGATAAAATGTTATTGCATCGTTATCAAAATGTTTTTGTGTTCATCGTCGTGTAAACATGTAATAGTTTCCCTTAGTTGGCTTAACAAATTGTAGGACAATTTTGAAGCTAGTGACAAAGAATTGTTGAAGTTCAACGTATTTTTGTTCAAACAATATTTGTAGATATAAAGTAATCTTTTAGGGAGAGTAGGGAAAATGCATTGATGCTGTTTCTTTGTAAGGATGACGATCTCTAACTTGCTCAGAGCGAGTGACAGGTCATGATCAGCCATTCAGATATCAAGTCATTGATAGTAATTGTTTTATTAATAATAAATACCAGTGTGTTATTCGTAACACGTGTTTAATATATAATTTAGAGCCAGTGGGTTGTTGTAATTGGGTAAGCTCATTGAATTCGTTTGAAGACCCTTTCTTTGGTATATTATAACATGTTTTCCCACAAAAAAAACATATTAATACATTAATTTTTGGATACTTTTCTACTGTTGATAATGCTCTTTGGCGCAAACTGCACAAAACCCATAACACTTTTCGCTTTATAAAAATCAATCCTTAAAAAATTATGTATAGCTTTCAACAATCAAATTCTAATTAATTTGTATAGCTCTTTATTTTCAAATGTGTTGCATAGTATTCCACGTGTTATATATTTAAACTACATTGCTAATAATTATTGAATGAACAATACAACTCATGTAGTTGTATAGATCAATTAGCTAAACAATCGAGTACAGCACATAGTTTGATAGTAACTGCCAAAAATATGTCATCCTAATGGTAATAGATTCACCGATTCCGTGGTATACGGAATATTATGACAACTTAAACGATAAATTAACGATACCATCGCTGAATACAAGACCCACAGACAGCTTTCTACAATCACGCTACTAAAACTTTGTTAACTCTGCAAAAAGCACATGACTATCTACACTATCTACCACTCTAGCACAGGGGGATATTCATGCTATATCTATAGTCTGCCAAATGTAACTACTCCAGCTTTGATTTGTTCACAATCCGAGCAACATAAGAAGCAAATTTTTAATTATGATCGTGCAGAATTAAATTTGTAGACGTTAACACAAACTTTGGTTTAAAATTATGAATGGTTATGGTAATTCCGTTTCAAATACAAGTCTGGCACATAACAAAATTACAATTTAGGAAATCGGCTGTAATTTGAAATGAACTATTTTTGTATGAATCGTTAAACTAATATGTGCCACCGAATTTTTGTAACTTTCTTTTCAAATATTTTATAAATATTTAAGGCAAATTTTCTTTTATCAAAAGTTTTAGTATTATTAAACAAAAAATTCATAAAAATATGCAAATTGTATAAATTTATTTCGATTGTCTCTGCAAGTCTGCTGTGCAAAAGAAAAGCCTAGTCTAGTTCAACTACGATTTGTATATATTTTAACCATTTAGCGATAGCAAATATTCATCCATTATATGTTAAATCAAAAGAATTATGCTTCGCAATCTTAAACTATCATTATAGTACAATAAAGGAGAGTTACATTGCGCAGACTATAGGGGAGGGTATGTAGTTGGGCCTTACTCGCTGTAGGAGCGCACTCGGCCGCATCTCTCGGCTTTACGTATGCTCCGCGACACCAGAATGGACTCGGTCCTAAACAAAAGCACAAGTTGAGCAATAATCACTGGGGAGTCAGCTACGGGGCACAATGTGATGGAATGTCAAAATACTGTATGTATTCAGAAAACCAGTAACATATGAACTACAAGAGTACAACTACGGAACAGTATATGAACGAAACAATGTACTGCGTAACCATAATGATCACGTATATACGTGAATAGATTGCAGCACTACTTAAAACGTTGAGGGTGCTTTTTTTCAGAGCAACCTTATCGAAAAATTTTGCACAAATTAACCGTTTTCGGTACTTTCCTGTTAAAGGGAACATTCATTATTATCGATGATTTTTTCTCGATATATCGATGTTTTTGTTTTCCGATCCATTACAAATTGACGACAAGAAATGAAACTGTTCTAAGCTAACCTAACATAACCAACCATACTTGCTGTACCATTTAAAAATTCCGTTTGGGTTTGAATATAAAAGGCAAGTTATAAACGCGGAGTTTTTAAATGTTACAGCAAGTTTGGTTAGTTATGTTAGGTTATTTATTTTAGAACAGTTTAATTTCATTAATGTTTGTTGATACTGAACAATATTTTTCGTAATTGTCAGCTGATATGTTTCAATTTGTTAATATCGATATATCGAGAAAAAAATCATCGATAATAATGAATGTTCCCTTTAACAGGAAAGTACCCCGTTTTCTATCAAAAATTATTTATTAAATTAAAAACATAAACATAACTGTACACAATCCTACTTTGACAGTTCTAATTTTGTATCACAGCTGCTTGGTTGAAATTAGCAACTGTTGTCATAAATTTAGACAATAGTGCTGCACCCTGTTGGTACATTTTGTAACCTTTTAATGCTATTGATCCACACAAATTCAACACAGAACAAAACAGAATCGAATTGTTTAGTTGAAACAGCTGTTAAGATTCTTAAATTCCATTTAATAAGGTTAACATGGGGAACTCCAGAGCCACTGGGGCGGAACCCTTTTGACGGATCTGCACCAAACTTCACACAAACCATCCTTGAATAATGCTTAATAATGTCTGAAAGTTTCATTACAATCTGTCTAGCGGCAACAACATGTTAAGGAAAGAAAGCTAATTTCTCACTAAAACATTTAGGCTGGCCAGAATGAAATTTGGAGCCATGATAATTATCACCTTGAACAAAGCGATTCTTTGATTATTTTCAAGAACCACCTGAGCCAAAGCTTTCATTAAACGTAACCCCTCTTCAAATCCGCTCTTTTGCAACCAGATAATGAACCACAGCCTAATGTGGTGCCTAAGTTAGGGATTAGTTTAAGCAGTACAGCGGGGCACAGTGCTAACGCCCTCCCTCAAAAAGGCAAAATCAATACAAAAGGGCCACCTCCCCCCTCCACAGGACCAGCTGCTTCAATCTTGGCACTGTACCAGATTACCTGTTTAAGTCACTTGACCGATTAGATTTTGAAAATAATTAGCCTACATTAAGATCACCTATGAGAAAAAGATGTGTTCTTGTCTTTTAAACATGATTTAGAAAGATGACACAGTCAAGTTGGGGTATTAGCGTATTATTGTCCTATTAAATATTTTAAAGATAATATGCCAGTATCGTATAATGATTACTATGGTTTTCTTTTGATTACTACAAAAATAATGACTTTATCATCATCCAGGAGGAGCTATGGAAGTTCGTTTTATATGTATGTTTAAAAAATATTGAAAGCAGATAATATACGGATAAATACTCTATATTTTCACGATACAGTATTATTCTATAAAGTTATAAAGTTCTCACCAATAAAAATCGGATACTTATACTTCCGATATTAGTTACAAGAGGGTAAAATTCGACACTGTTATTAAAATAGCCTGGTTGGAAAAACATCCACATTTAGATTTTTTACCGACGAATAAAAATAATATTCATAACATTAACTATTTTGTAACATGGTTCTGAAATGTACAATTTTTTCCAGGTTTGGTAAGAATCTGCAATATTAAGTTTTGATTGTCATAAATGGAAAACTCATTTTTACCTCATAAAAACCCATTCCCATTGCTCGATCACAAGGTTCGCGGACTCGTTTGAATAATAGTTGGGCATGTTTACAAGTACCAAATTTCATCAAAATCGGATGATTTGTAATCGAGCTATCGTGCTAATGGGCATACGTATTTATACATATATGGATTTCAACGGATGGCTTATAGCCTCTGGGGATATCAAAACGAAAAAGAAAAGCTGTCCCGACACTAGATCTTAGCGTGAGACATTCAGTAATAGCTTATTCCATGTGTGACAATATGTCTCACACAAAAATACTAACCTACAAGTGACCAATCTATAACCTATAATGCCTAAGTATCCCTTAAATGTACATGAAAATTAAATAAAATTACCTCAAACTGCCACATTGAGCTATGCAATTATGGTTCACTGTAAGACGTGTTCTAATTCAGAACTTTGTCCATTCACATAACACTCCAAGTTTAACACCAGCTCATTATAAATATTTGACCAATTATACTGTGCAATTTTAACACAAGTTGACAAAAAGTCTAAACATTAATAAAACAAACAATAAACGTTAATTTGTAGAGTTAACAATGACCAAACATTGCCAAACACCGCATCGAACAATGACAAACCCAGACTGGTAGCATTCTGTCCGGAAGAGAAAGACCAGCTGATTGTTACAAACACAGCTGTTTTGACTTCAACCAGACAACAATTACAAGATTTCCTGTTCGTATACTGATGTGTTGTGATAATTATTGACACTAGAAATCATTGACACTGATTGATCTCGTCCGGCAACATTTAGAATGCGCTGATGTCAAATAAATATGAAACAATTTACAGGTAGATAGTTTTATTTACTTTTAATGATTGTAGGATAGTGAATCGAAAATTATTTAATAGTATAGAACAAAACTCTTTCCTGCATTCAAATTATTACGAATGACTAATCAAGAAAGCATGTCTGTGCACACACATTATAACTTCTAAATAATTATAACATTTAATAAACAAGAGCGGTATAAATGGGCTAACTGTTTGTCACGTGTTTTAGTTCACAAAAGTTCCACCTGTTTAGAAACAAAAGAATTTTACTCGCAATTTTTTATTATTCTTTTACTAGCATTATATAATGGAAAGGTGAAAAGTTTGGATTAAAAAGAGCTTTGTTATATTTTTTGCTTTGACATTAGTTCAGGGACGAAATTTATTGTGGCACATAAAACAATATGGCAATTACGTTACTGTACCATTCTCATAAATATTTCAACCACTCTCATTGGGGCTTAATGTTTTTGAATTATTGATTTCAAGTTTAATAACTACGTTTATTACCTTATAATATAAATGAAATGTATAACTAAATCTAAATGTCCAAAAAGGTCAATATATAATAAATTGTTTTATTCACAAGCGCTTTCGGAAACTAAGTTTCCATCGTCAGGCTGTTTTTAAAATGGTACAAAAAGTAAATATTTACAATAATAAATCAATTTTAAGTCAAGATTATGTAAAAGATATTGGGGGAAAATATGAGAAAATCATCTTTTGAGTTTTGGATATATTACGGTGTTTTTCTTGATGTAATTATTTTCAGTAATTCCGAGTTAATAATTTTTCATTATTTAACAAATAATTTTGTTCTGTTTTTTTATAAAATAAGATTCCCACGCATTAAGATGTTGAGGTTTTATTGTTTGTTTAAAAAGTTTAAGGTTTCTCAAATTGAAAATAGGTCCTGTATTTATACTTTTTTTTTTTTTTTTTTTTTTTTTTAAGGGAGAGGAGGTAAAAATGCTTTTACGCACACAGGTAGCCAGCCTGTAGTGTGAGACTCCTGAATCTATCGCAGACTACTCACTAAAAAACCCCCTCTACTCTGTTGGACACAGACCTGGAATTGTTTGTCACATTACTTCAAGTCAGGCCAACATGTTACCTAAGCCCTCAGGGCTCTCACCGTTTATGGCATTTGGATACTTTAAGACCTACACCGCATCCCGGTCAAGGTCGAGCTTCTTGGCGCGGAGAATACCCTGGATGTAATGTGACACACAGGTCCAATTGTCCTCACCCTCCGTCATCATCGGTATGACCGTGTCCACCGACAGCAGTCCTACTAACTGTTGAGCCTCCAGGCGGGGCCTTTCCCAACGCTGGCAGTGGAAAAATGTATGTTCCACGTCATCGGGAATGCCTGGGCAGTATATGCAATCGGGTGACACGGCTTTGCCCATCCTGAACAGGTACGACCGGAAAAAGCCGTGACCCGTCAGAAATTGGGTGAGGTAGAAGTCCACCTCTCCGCACCGCCGATCAACCCAAGGTTGGACTTGCTTTATCAGTCGCCTGGTCCAGCGTCCCCGAGTCTCCTGTTCCCAGCTCTCTTGCCACAGCTGGTAGGTGCGGGTGCGTTCCTCTGTTCGTGCCTGGTCCTCCCCACGGCGCTGATAAATTGCTTTTCTCTCCGCCGCCAAAAGTTTGACGGGGATGACTCCAGCAACCACCAGGACGGCGGGTTCGGACACTGTTCGGTAGGCGGATGCAACTCTTAGTGCTGCCTGACGCTGCACTCGGGCAAGCCGCATCCTATATACCTCCTTATTTAGAGCGTCTGCCCACACCTCAGCACCGTACAAGAGTACGGACTGGACAGAAGACATTAACAGCCTTCTACGGCTGGACCGAGGCCCTCCGACATTGGCCATCAACCGGCTAAGAGAGGAGACCACCCTAGCGGCCTTGTCCGCCGTACGGAAAATCTGATCCCGCCAGCTAAGCTTGCTGTCCACCATAATCCCAAGGTACTTGGCAGAACGAACGGTCTGGACTTCAACGGCCCCTACCCTCAACGGCACGATGGTGTCAATCCGTTTTTTTGTTAATATCACGATCTCAGTTTTGCTCAAAGCAAGCGAGAGACCGTGGTCTGTCATCCATGCGTTTATAGTACGCATAACTCGGTTCAGCTTTAGCTGAGCCAGCTCAACGCTACGTG